AGACAGACAGACAGACAGACAAAAGCTGAGGCATAAACATTGAGGGCAATGTTTAAAACTAGACCCTCACTTTCTATATAAAAGCCTGTCATTTAAATATACCTTCATGTACAAATGCAGAATTTACCCCCTCTCTTCTTCCAACCAATCTCCATCTCTACTTAATTCTCAATCTACTTTTACATCAGTTCCTTTTGCTTTCCATATGGATTTTCTTCTTTGAAGTAAAAAGCACCAATGCAGAGGCCTTCATCTCCCCTACCACATGTCTAGTAACAGTTCTTATTTAAAAACATTAGCACCTATTTCCTTTCCTACTTTTAAACAAGTGCTTTATTAATGAATTATGTTGCAGAGGCTATTACATAATAGTCAAGGGCAATTTATTAGATTTTTAAATTCTCAGGATTCCTGCCATATATCACATTGGGATCAGCTTGGTGTTTTCCCAGTATCTTTTCCTACAAACTATTATTTCCTCATCTCAATGTTTACATGAAAGATACTTTCCTGCCTAAGTTTTCCTTTTCAAGAAAATAAAGATTGTTTTATTTCATTATTTCACTTTTTGAGAACATCTGCTCTCAATTCTGGGGATATAGCTGCATTATACTGCAGCATAGGAAACCAGGGTTCACATGTTTATAGCTTCAGGAAATGGGACTAAAGTGAGTTCTAAAAGACAGGAATAAAGGCAAAGCAGGTATTTCCAGACTTTTACTTACCTGCCCCCCAGGGCTAGATGCTCCTCTCTTTAGAAAACAATGGAGTTTTTCTACTGATTTCACTGACTGCCTACCATTAAGAACATTTCCCAAATTCCTGTTTATTATCATAATGGTTTTCAGCAGGGACTGAAAACCCTCTTGGAATTTTAAATTTTGTATTTTCATTCTAACAATAACCAATTAAAAAAAATCAACACAAGTATATTCTGGATCACCTAGATGACAGAGAAAACCTGTGGAATTTCTGCACTGAATTTGCTTTTGTGTTCATAATCATGGTACCACCCACTCTAAATTGCATCCACTAATGAGAAATTAACACAAGTTTACTTATTATATGATACACTTATATCAAGTGAAAACCAAATTATGCCAAAGGACACTAGATGAATGAAAAGTTCACAGCAGTTTTAACAGACAAAAAAGGTGGGAGAATTGAGTCATTATTCTATACATGGTACAAGAATAGAAACCTAAATAGAAGAGCTGTATATAGGTTATTCAAATTTGAAAAGCATTAGTGTAAGATACAGAAATATCAAGAATTCAAGAGAGCAAAGGAAGGTTTAAAGCATACAAATTCACCACAGCTCTTCTTTGGCTGCATTTTACTTAATAATCAATCATTTTTCACATTCTGGTCTGGCTCATGCTTGCACTATAGAGATCAAAGCCAGGAGGAAAATGGAATCTGACACACACTAATACAGTAGTTCCCCCTTATTCGTGGCACATAGATTCCAAGAGCCTCAGTGGCTGCCTGAAACTACAGGCAGTGGGAAATGCTACATATACTATGTTCTGTCTTATACATATGTACCTGTGATAAATTTTAATTTATTAAATAGGCACAATAAGAGATTAACAATACAACAATTATAAGAATATACTATAATACATAGTATACTACATACCGTGTTTCCCCGAAAATAAGACACTGTCTTATATTTATTTTTTCTCAAGAAGACACACTAGGGTTTATTTTCAGGGGATGTCTTATTAAGTGTAATACAACAATCTACATTTATTCAAATACAGTTAAGTCATCTTCTGGAACCTGACAGGGGGAGGGGACCTTGTTGGTGGGGCTGGCCCTAGTGATGCGTGAACTCCTTTCCCCTAGCTGTTCGCACGCGTGCAACAGGATGCCTGCGGCTACAGTTACCACATGTGCACCAGTGCAAGTGCAAACGGCTCTGAGAGAGGAGCTGTGGCAGATAAAAGGTATTCCAGTCTTCCTTACCACTCCACGCAGAAATGCATGGCATGGCTATGCCGATATGCTGCATTGCCACGCCCATCACCAGGTCTTATTATGGGGGTAGGGCTTATATTTAACAAATGCATAGAGATCCCGTTAGGGCTTATTTTTGGGGGAGGTCTTATTTTTGGGGAAATACGGTATACACATATAAATATGTGTATGTATATATAGTATATATTTTGTGAATGTGGTCTTTCTCTGGAAATATCTTATTGGACTGCACTTACCTATTTTCAGACCACGCTTGACCAAGGGGTAACTGAAACACTGGATAAGGGAGAAACTACTGTATTTGTGGCAGTCTATTTTTTTTTTTTTTTTTTTTTGAGACAGAGCCTCAAGTTGTCCTCCTGGGTAGAGTGCCATGGCAGCACAGCTCACAACAACCTCTAACTCCTGGGCTCAAGTGAGTCTCCTGCCTCAGCCTCCCAAGTAGCTGGGACCACAGGCACCCACCACAACGCCTGGCTATTTTTTGGTTGGTTGCAGCCGTCATTGTTGTTTGGTAGGCCTGGGCTGGATTCGAACCCGCCACCTTGAGTGTACATGGCTGGCGCCTTAGCCACTTGAGCCACAGGCGCCGAGCCTATTTGTGGCAGTCTTGATGGAAAAAAAAAAAAAGAAATGAGGGCAAGGACTGTTAAATAAGTTACATGACCTCGATTTCCGCATTCAATCTGTCAGAAATTCCATAATAAGGGTAACGTAACAGGTGGAGAACACTTAGATTAAACCAAAAAGAACTTTTCCTTTCTTCATGAAAAGAATAATTATTAAAGAAAACATGTAAATCCAAAAAAATAGAACAAAGAAGATAAAATCATTTCATTTTTCTCAACCAAATTTGTTCCAACCAAAATGTTGTTTTTCCTCTCTTAACATGGCTGAAATCATAGTACAACTCAGCCCCTAAATTCAAATAGGCTGCTTGAGATTCTCTCGGTTTACAGCCAGGTGAGAGACCCTAAATATCTTCTGACCCAGATTCAAAATAAACCTGGAACACAAAGATCAAAGAACACTTTATCTTAGACTACTTAGTGCTTACAAACTTTTTAAAAGAGAGAGGGGCAATATCTTGGTCTGTTGGCCAGTGAAAGCTATGACCTATAATTTTGGCATTAAAATGCTACTGATATCTTTAATTCTAAATAGAAAATAAATAAATAAATAATTAGAATAAGAGGACTTTCTAAAGAAAGGTAATGAGACTGTGAGGTCAAGGAAAGTAACTGGAATCATAAACCATTAGAGAAAGAAAAACATACTTTGATTCCAGAAGTGCAAATTATTTTACCTACAGACCTAAATAACTTTACTTCCTATCATAAAAAACTGTTAACTAAATTAATATACAACACATTTTTAAATATAGAAAATGTATGCTTAAAGTACACATTAAAAAGTCAACCATTTCTAACCCATGAAAAATATATAATGAGATAAAAATAAAAGAGAGAAGGAGGGGTTCGAGAAACATGACTAGTTTAAATGATCTAGCATTAAACACATTCACACAGGTTTAATCTTGGCTTTGTCATAAGCTACCCATGTAATCTTGAAAAGGTCACTTGGTACCTTTGGCCAAAGTTTCTAAACCTGTAAAATGAGGAAACTAGAGATTCACTTTAGCTATAAACCCTACTGAGATATCCTTTTATTTTCTCCTGCACATTTAATCTCATAAATCAAACTAAGGTATAAAAACTTCTTAAAATCTCTCTTAAAAACATTCCATATAAGTATCAAAACAAAACAAAAAAATTTTCTGGAAAATTAGTAATTCTGCTGTTTAACTTTGGTTCCATCTAATTAGTTAAGGCTATGCTTTTCCAATGTCTAGTGACATCCAGTTAACATATTACTTGTTTTAAATGTGTACTCCCAGAAAGATTGCATCTACTTTTTAATGCTGCTCCTAAAACACCAATAGGAAAGTAAAAGAGAAAAAAAAACAATACCATCTATAATAAACTCTATGTTTTAATAGTTCAAAAGAGTAAAGAAAAATATGAATTGTATGTTATCATCTATACTATGTTCCTCTAAGTAAATAAAAAATTAACTTCTGAAATTAAGTTTGTCAAAATTTATATATGAGATCATGACCCTACTCAAATTTTATATTTGAATGATATAGGTACATTGTCCTTACCTTGCAAATTAAAACTCAGGCTGGAGACTGTCTTTAAGAAATCAATGGGAACAAAACTATATAATGTAACACTGAAGTACAGATATTCAATTACCTTTACGTGCAGAACTGCTGTGTACCTTGTAGTCAAGCAGTTAACTAGTCATAAAATAGTTCAGTCTAAGAACAAGAAACTCAAGTTTTAGTTAACAACTGTTAATGTGTTTTAAAACAAAAGCTCATTTTGACTCACCTTAGTCCAAGGATGTGCCTTAATTTGGGGAAATTTGAATTCTGTGTAGTTTGGGTTCATTTCTCTAATTTGCTCCCTTGTTGGCGTTCCCAGGACCTAGATAAAGAAAGCAAATTATTGCCATCTTTTCCCATACACTTACAAATATACTCTCTAAGTTTTAATGTACTGATTTCACTGAAAAAAGAGGAATTCCAAAGTTAAATAAAATACCCAAATTGTTAAATGCAGCAATCCTATGGTTTGATTGTGTCCCTGCCAAAGTTCATGTATTGGAAATTTAATTCCTAGTGAAACAGTGTTGAGAGGTAGGACCTTTAAGAGGTGATTAGGTCATGTGAGTTCTGCCCTTAAGAATGGATTCCTGTTGTTATGAAGAGAGTGGGTTGGTTATAAAAGTGAGTTTGACTTCCTCTTGCTCTCGCCCTCTCTTGCCCTTCTGCCTTCCACCATGGGATAAATGTAGCATGAAGGCTTTACCAGATGCAGGCCCCTCATCTTTGGACTTCCCAGCTTCCAGGACTAACTAAATAAACTTCTATTATTTATAAATCACCCAGTCTATGGTTTTCTGTTAATAGCAACAGAAAATGGAGAAGCAAACGTTGTGAAAGCCATTTTAATCTGTAACTGCCTATAGATTCCATGCTATGCTACCATGGACAGATTTCTATGATAACAATACTGTTAAATCAGGGTTATAAAAAAGATTACTGAACTCAAATATATTTAGGTAAAAATCAAGCATCTTTCTTCTATCTAGAAAAACAATCTACTGCAATGATCACATCTGAAATGAGAGGATACAAAAATCCATGGATGCTCAAGTCTCTAATGGCATAATTTTGCATATAATTATTTATATGCACACATATAATTTAAATCATCTCTTGATTACTTATAATACCTCATACAATATAAATGCTATGTAAATACTTGTATAGTATATATTATTTATATTATTCTTTTTTGTTGTATTGTTATTTTTTATTGTTTTTTTCCTAAACATTTTTAATCTGCAGTTGGTTGACTCCATGGATGTGGAACTCACAGAAATGGAAGGTCTACTATATTACCAATATATTCATTAGGCAAACCTTACTCAAAAACTGCCATGAATAATTCCACTCGTCATTAAATATTCACTGAGTATGTCTTGTGTACAAGGAACTATGTTACAATCCATGGGGGATATAAAGAACAAGAGATTTCCCACTACAACGAATTTACATATTTGTGTAGTGAAAAAGTGTAACTACAATGAAGACAAAAATATGTCAAACACTTCTTTTTCTCTAGAGCTATACTAGGCAGTGGAAAAAGGAAAGTACATGGTTGAACAAACAGGTAATAAGAAGAAACATTAAATCGTAAAAATGAGGACTTTGCTACTTATAATTTAAGGACAGCTGCACCAAAGGCGGGAAATACAATGATAAATACTTGATTTTTGGTGGCAACTAATGAAAAATTAGGCATAATTCCATAATCCTTCAGGGCAAAGTGAGAATTTCTAGTTTTTTTTATTGGCTTTAATTCTCTAGACTATATTAGAACTTTCAGAATTCCTTCAAAATCTAAATACAGTAGGACCTCTATAAGTTGACCACCCAAAGGGACTATAACAAACTGATCAACATGTGGTGGTCACGATAAAGAACTAGTCCTCTGGGGCAGCACCTGTGGCTCAGTGAGTAGGGCGCCGGCCCCATATACCAAGGGTAGTGGGTTCAAACCCGGCCCTAGGCAAACTGCAACAACAAAAAAATAGCCGAGCGTTGTGGCGGGCGCCTGTAGTCCCAGCTCCTGGGTATGCTGAGGCAAGAAAATCACCTAAGCCCAAGAGCTGGAGGTTTAAAAAAAAAAGAACTAGTCCTCCTATACTGACAGATATGTGGAATGCCTGTCCAGTTTATGAAAATTAGGTCAACTTAAGGAGGTGATCAATGTAGGGAGGTAGTCAATAATGAAGTTTGTTAAAAAGGTACTCGTAAGAAACTGAAAAGGCAAGTCATGAGTTGAAAGAACACTTGCAAAACGTTCTGCAAAAGATCTGTATTTAGAATAAAGAACCCTTACAATTAAAAAATAAGACAAGCCAAAAAAAAAAAAA